CGGCAGCGAGTAATAGCATTCGCTGGAAAAATAGATGACCGCGCCGATAAGGAAAAATTCAATTCTTTTATTCTCTCTGGGGAGAAGGTGCCTTATTTCCTTCCGCGCAATATGATACGAGAGCAGCCTTGTGTATTAAGAAATGTTTTAAAGAAAAGGAAGTTATTTTCCAATTTGATCACAGCAGAAGTGGGAGAAAAAGCGTAAAAAAGAGAGTGTTCTTCCAGAGCTCGTCATCTCTTCTGTGTAATAAAGTCCATTAGGCTCCGGACTGAGCCAATCAAGACTCGTTTAATTCAACTCTTTAAGATTGAAACTCGTGCTTCTCGTCCTGTCTGTGCCATCCCACACCCCTGGGTCGGTTCTACTCAAAAACCTGCTCTCTGGGGAGTCCTAGCTCACGATCTCCACATATCCACATATCTCCCAGGCCTGGGAGAACATGCAAACCTGCTCAGAGCGGCTGGTGGAGGGCTGACAGTGATCCAAACACAATAGTAGATCTATCTCTCCAACGCTGAACATCTTTCAGGTTTCCAGTCCATCCAGTTGTTCACCTGAAGCAGACCCACACAAGCACCAGAAAAACTCCACTCAGGAAGAGCCTCTGGCTGGCCTCGGAGCTTCTAATGCTGCCTCGCTAGAAGAAGTCTCTGATAAAGGTTAAAAATCAAGTTCCAGAGCATCTGAAGCACGGCTCAGCACCAGGATCTGCATCCGAGCCCCGTGGAGCTGCGGTGGGAACGCTTCGAGTTTGGATGCTCCTTGTGAAGATGCTTCAGAAACACAGAGATGAGGTTCTTGGAAATGGAGATTCGTTGATGGCTTCAGAGCAGAGTTCAGGTGCTTCAGAACTCACATCTCTCCAATGCTGTGTTTGTTCAGTGCCAACAAACCCATAGCAGAGTAGAAACAGAGAATAAAGCCAACCATTAAATCCAATCCAATGAGGGGTTTCCTCTATGAAGGACGGCTGCAGTTTGGATCTTGTGCATTCCTGGTACAGCATCAGTAATAACGAGAGCATTAGCCGTTGCTTAGAAACAATACGATGCGTATCGATATAATACATCCATAGAGTCCTGGTGAAACAGGAGCCGGCGTCTGATACAGGAGCAGAAACATCCGAGATAAAGCTGCTTCGTGTTCCTCGTGATGTTCCTCTATCTGATCACAGCATGAAACCGTGGAATATTAGCCGCGCCAAGCTAGAAATGCAATATTACCCACAATGCACTGCATTATTACAATAAAGGATGGTTGTGATAAAACGCTTGAATAAATGTATGAAACAGAAAACACATCTCTTGATCTTGACTGATTTGGTTTTGCCTTGCTTCACTTTAGCTGTATCTTACCTTACTTTATTTTTTTACTCCTTGCCTTCTGTTCTCTCCTCTCGAGAACTTTACCTTTTCACTCCACAGTTTCTCCCTTAAGTGCTTTCAGAATCTTCTCTAAACGACTGAATGACTGTAATGTGAGGATTGGTCACAGCATCAGTGTTTGGAAGACTTCAGTCAAATGACTCTACGTTACTGTGAACAAAACATATGTAAAGCATAAATTAAATGTAATAAAAAATAATAATCCTGTTTAATGGTTTTTCCTGCACCCTTTCAGCGGTGCTAAATGTTTTTAGAAGGGTAAGAGTTTTTTTTCTTGCAGGTTTCTTGGTTTTATGAGGGGCTTTCCACAGATGGCAGACTTGAGGACTCTCCTGATATTTCTTTATGGTTCTCGGAGCACGAGTTAAGCAACTCAAGAAGCAAGTAATGAGCTCTCAGCAAACGAGGAGGAGGAGCTGCATAAACAGCAAATGATGAGGAATCTCCACGAATCACGAGATCGAAGCCTGTGAGTGTCCCTTTCTGAAGAACTCTACAACAACGACAGCACAGCCTGCATCAGAACCAGGCTTTCCTCGCGTCTCCTCTCGTCCGTCACCATGAACGCTACAGAATGTAACTCTGCCATAGACATTCCTTCAAAGTCACGCATAGAGCTCATGCTCATCCTGCAACCCAGGACGCTGCTGCAAATCAAGACTCTGGTGATCAGTGATTGGCTGTTGTGTTTGGGAGGCGGGACTTATTTAACAATGCTGCACTTCCCAATCCACAGCACGTCTTGATTTGACACTCACCGTTGGCATCTGTCCGCTCAGCAGGTGCCCGTCCTGCGCCAGCATGTTGCTCATCATGAGCGCGGGCAGCTCCGGGTACGAGTAGGGGTTAAGCAGGCCGTTGTGAGGGATGGAGTGGCACAGGTAACTCGATTCGGGATCCATCAGGTGCAGCAACGGTGGCTCCGGGTGGTTCGGGGGGGTGATGGGAGGGATCTCGTAGTCCTCATCTCCTCCACCTCCAGTGCTGCCACTGCCTCCTCCCTGTCCGGAGTAACTCTGAGAGAGAGAGAGAGAGAGGGGGGGGGGGTTTAGTCTTTTTTGGGGGGAAATACATATTTATCAATAAAATAAAATAGTTAAAAGAGGAAAAAGAAACTAAGATATGAACAAATAAAATGTAAATATATACTGATATATATTCGTCTGTTCGTCTCTATCTCCCTCTCCCTCCCTCTCTCATTCTCTCTTCCCCCTCTCCTTCCTCTCCATCTCTCACTCTCTCTTCCTCTAAACACAATAAAATTATTAGAGGATTCCAAAATATAAACAAATAAAACAATATTACATAAAAAATTCCAATATAAATGTACATATGTATAGAATTCTGTTAAATCTACAACAAGTTAAAAATAGATTTACATAATAAAATTTACTAATAAAAATATATTAACAGAAGGCATCTTAAATATTTGTGGTCAATCCCCTACATTCACATCACCTGAACTCTGCTCTAAATACGTTTATATTGATGTCAATGTATCTCCTGTTTCAATCGCTCTGAAGCGCCGCATGAGAAACACTTTCACTGTGAAAACAAAAGAAAGTAACGATCATCAGGAAACAGATCAAAGCTGCTGGACGCTGAGAGATGCTCAAGCCGCCGGAGCAGTTGTGAAACACAGATGTTTCGTGCGGAAGCTCAAACTATCGTTTATTAATAAAACTCGAGCGCTGATGGAGGAAATGTAAAAGGTAAAATTGAGGCAAAAGAGGTTGTCGGGGTATTCAAGAGGGAATGAAAAGCAATTTTGTCGGAGGCGATCTGACTGCGGCGCCGTCTATAATGACTGAGTCAAATTAATCATCAGAAATAATATTCGGCTGTCAGCCATTCAAGAGTTTTTAATAGAATTCTTATGATTCATGTCTGAGCGAATCCATCAGAGCTGTCAGTTCTGCAACATTTCAGAAATCAATTCAATCTCATCTTTGTGTTGCCTGTCATCTGGGCCTGGAGAGCAGTCGTTTATCTTGCAAACAAATACTTTCTGCAAATCCAACGTGGCCATGGAGTGCGGGGAAGAGGGGGGGGGGGGGTCATTCTTCACCTTGCTAATGTACATTACTCAAATCACAAACTTCTGCTAATGCATCATACTCCTGAAGGAAGACAGAGTTCAACGGATTCGACTCTAATTAGCTGATGATCCCCTGCAGGACTACATTTCCCATGAGCCCCTGCTGAGACACACCCTCACACCTCCTTCACCAGGTGCACAGCTCTTAGTAGTGCTTTGAATTTCCTTCGTCTGACTGTTCATGCCTGACTTCCTGCCCCATTCTTGCTGCGCATCTCAGGTCCTGTTGGAGACGAGTACGTGCGGTTGGGGGGGGGGGTGTTTGAGGTGTTCCTCATGCCTCTATCCTGGGTCCAATTCTTTTTATTGTTTAAGTTAGTAGTTGATCACAAACTGAGCTCCAAATTTACCCCTGGAGCTCTTGGTTAGAAGACCAGAACCTGCCTGAGTGCAAGGCATTTCTCGCAAATATATAAATGAAAAAGTGCAAGAGAGGAAGCTCTGCACTGATTGGAGGGTTTATTTCATTATTCGCTCATTATTTCAAGCCCATGATGGAGACGATGGTTAAAAATGATGGTTATTCAGACCCAGCTGACACCGACATCAACATCCGGACCAGTGCTGATATAACTGAGCTCTTGCGAGGGAAATAATTAGCTCTTAATTAAAAAGAATCTGCAGTGCTGGAAACACTTTCTGGAAACACAGTAAGTTTTCCTCGAAGCCCCTGTGCCCTCCAACACAACAAACCAGAGGACGTTTGTCAAACCAGCACAACGCCCTTGGTGATAAAATGTAAATCTCAAGGTTGAGCACCGTCGGACGATTTGAGAAAAATACATAATTCATCCTCCTCACGATTAGATGCATTACACATTTAACGCATGAGGAAACCACTCTTCAGAAGCATCACAGCTCAGGTAAAAAGACGGATGTTTCTCTCTCTGTTTATCCGCCGTTTCCTCAATCTCTCAGTCCACTCCACTTTTGAATTCAAGATGGCGTTTGCTCAGAGTTTCCATTTGTGGCTTTCATTAACTGAAGAGGGCACGGCACGCGCTCTGAAAGCCAGCCATTAAACTCACGCCAATATTTACAACATCGACACATTTCAACGAGGACCGGCGCGGAGTCTTTGGACGAGCAGATGAAGCACTAGTTTGTGCACGGGATGGAATAATGAGGAGTTTCCTCAGCTTGGCATGGAGTCCACTATCTCTGGCATGCACTCGAGCGATTGTGCTCAGCTGCACTGATCACAAACGCAACACAGCGAGCTTCGCACTTAACACAACACATGTCTTCTCCACTGAAATCTATTTCATTCTGGCTCGTTCGGCTCAGGAACACTTCATAAACATCATAAGCTCCATTTTTTTATCAATTTCTATTACAGTGGTGCCATCCTCGAAACAAATACAACCATCAAACCTTGCAGTTAGAAGATGTTTCAGTTTCACTGTCCAAACCTCATCATATACTGTGCTGGAAGGTATAAAGCGTTTAACATAAATGACATAACATTTACATTTATAACTTTGGCAGACGCTTTAATCCAAAGCAACATACAATTTCCTGCTTTCATGAGATTTGAACCCACAACCTTTGCGTTGTTAGCGCAGTGATCTGCCAACTGAGCCACAGGAAAACTGTGACAAATGTATAACACATTAATCCGAGAGCTACATCAATATTCACATTTATTAAAGCCGTAAAACTGTATTTGTGATTCGATTCGAGCAGAGTAAGAGAGTTCCTCGCGAGCAGGTGATCACACAAAGATTCATAGTTCAAAGATTCAACAACTTGATAAGATTCAAAGATTCATAGTTTTAAGATTCAAAGAATCAGATTCAAGATTCACAAGGACTCCTTGTTTTTCTATAAATGGGGAGCTGCTTTGTTCCGAACGTGACCCGGGTTTGCTGCCGTTAATGAACTGAACTGAGGGAAAGTGGATCTGGTCAATGAACTCAGACCCTAACTCTAACTGACTCTAACTCGTGAACAGCTGAGCTTCATGCACACAGCTCCTGAGTGAAGGACTTGCCACAGAGTTTGGTTTTACAGCTGAAGCAACAAGAGGTTGGTTGGAGATCTGGACTGTTTTCTGGGGAGGAAGCTAGCAGCACGTGCAGCTCGAGCATCTCTGAAATGAACGAAACTCTGGCTCGATCTCCAGCACTGGACTTCAATCCGGTCAGGATCACGTCGAGCGCTCGTCTTGAGTTTTACTTTTGTGTAAAAGCTTGAGCTTGAGTATGAGTCGATTGGATTACAGCCGTCGGCGGATAGAGAGATAATTAATAAATGTACGACTAATTCTTCGCTAATTGCTAAACTCACACAGTGCTAGTGTCTGCAGCGAGCGTGCAGCCTACACACCATCTGCTGCGGAGAACGTTATTCTGGGAGCCAATCGTTTAACCTTCAGTGTGTTCCCTCACACACCATATGCTCGAGAAATCTCCAAGATTCCTCAAACAAACGAGAGAGAGAGAGAGAGAGAGAGAGAGCAGAGAGAGAGAGAGAGAGAGAGAGACAGAGAGAGAGAGAGAGAGAGAGACAGAGAGAGAGAGAGACAGAGAGAGCAGAGAGAGAGAGAGAGGCAAGAAAGAAAGAGGAAAGAGAGAGAGAGAGAGAGAGAGAGAGAGAGAGAGAGAGAGAGAGAGAGAGAGAGAGAGAGAGAGAGACAGAGAGAGAGAGATAGAGAGAGACAGAGAGAGAGAGAGAGAGAGAGAGAGAGAGAGAGAGAGAGAGAGAGAGAGAGAGAGAGAGAGACAGCTCTCGTGGAGTCAGAGCAGTGTACAGTAACCCGCTGCAGACACCAGAGTCACATTACTGCAACACTGCACCAAATAAATTAATTAATATTTATGAATCTCATTTATAAATACTTTTATTTCAGTGCTGCAATTACTGTTTGTTTTAGAAAGATAATGTTTGAAAATGATCGGATGAGTTACTATTTTAGTAATAAATAAAACTATAAAGTTTTGCTTAGAAGGAATTTATTATTACATTTACCAGAAAGAGAAATTAAATGAAAAAAGAGAAACATCAGGATGAACGAATTAAAATATAGAATTAAAACCTCTGCATTATTTAAAGATTAAAGATGATTCTTAACTTTGGCCGTGATCCTGCAGCGCGTTTAATCGATGTCAGAAACACTGATGAGATTCAAACACAGCTCCAAACATCAGAGCGACGGAATCAGACCCAGAGAGGAGGAGCACGCCGAGCATTGTGGGAAATCTCTGCTCGTTATTACTGTACAGCGGAGTGGAGAGGAACTCGATGTGAACGTGGAGACGGAAGCAGAGAGAATCAGACTAATGACCAGCACACAGCTCTCTCTCTTTCTCCTTCTCTACCTCCTCCTCCTCCTCCACCTCTCTCTCTCCCTCTCCTCTACCTCTAGCTCTCTTTCTCCTTCTCCATCTCTCTCTCTCTCTCTCTGTCTCTCTCTCTCCTTAACCACCTCTCTCTCTACCTCCCTCTCTCACTCCACTTTAATCCACTACGGAATGTTATGAATAGGAATGTGATGAATCGTGTTTTATAAAGAGATCTGCAAGTACTCGGAAGATGACGGAACACGGGAAACACGTTCAATCCCTGAATCCTCTTCACGGATGTAGTTCTGTGTGAGGATCTGGTTTAGATCCTCAGTTTAACTCAGTTTTAATTGTTGTTTGTGGGTTGCCTCGTTGAAGCTTGAACCAAACCTTTATGAGACGAGCTTTGGTTTATTTTCAGAACAGATCCGTTACGGAACGGCGAGTCTAAACCGGTGAAAATCTGCGACTCTTTAAATAAATTTTATTGCAATCGTGCCTCCTACAGCTGACCGGGACAGTGTGTAGAACGTTTATTTTACATTTTATCTGGTGAAAATAAAGTATTTCCAATCAGTTGAAATGAACGGCTCCGGTCACGTCTCGACGACGCTCAATAAGAGTTTTCAAAAGAGATCAAATGTTTGCTTTAAATACACTTTCACACCAGGATTCCAGACCTGTTCCAGAGAAAGCTTGCTTTACAGATTGTGCTGCTGTTTTTAATCTTTGAAAATCAAACCCTCAATCAGGTTCTATGATGTGAGCACAGGGCATTATGGGTAATGGCCGTTGCTCTATGCTGCATACGTCACAGTTTATAACGGTAACGGTGAGCTTCTGAAACTTTTCTAAAAGCTTCTGTTTTTCAGATGCAGGGCAAGTCACTCCCCCTGTGTTCCCCTCGACTTTCATTCTTCTCATGCGTATCTGTGTGGATTAATGCGCTGCCAAAATAAAACGTAATGTATTTGATTATTTAATGTAATCATGTGTCATTTTAATTTACCTCTGTGTATTCCTGTGTATAAGATACATTCCAAAGCTACGTATAAAATGTTCAGAGAGATGTTAGTGTTTATACACTGGATTAGCTCTAAAATGCTTCTCAGGGATGCTCAGATAAATGCTCTGTGAAAACATTTTACTCTGCCAGTGATTGTATTCCGTAGTGAACGGAGGAATTCAGTTGCTGCTTCTGAACCGAAGGCTGTTGTTCAGCAGTTCATCGAGTACTTAATATTATTTAATTTATTAATATTGTTTAATGTTATTGTTAATGAATGTTTTAGAATGAAACACCTTGGATCTGTTTATTCTGATGCACTTATTTCCCTTTGAAACCTCGCCCAAAACCAAAGGATGAGCATCAAGTTTAATGAGATCAAATTATTTCTCTCTCTCTCTCTCTCTCTCTCTCTCTCTCTCTCTCTCTCTCTCACCTCTCTCTCCACTCCTCTCTCTCTCTCTCTCTCTCTTTCTCTCTCGCTCTCTCCTCTCTCTCTCTCTCACTCTCTCTCCTCTCTCCTCTCTCTCTATCTCTCTCACCTCTCTCTCCACTCCTCTCTCTCTCTCTCTCTTTCTCTCCACCCCCTCCCTGCTTGCTCAGCACTCGACTACAGAAATATTTTGGCAGCCTCATGCTTTGTTTGCTTTTGACAAAAGATGTGGGGTAGAGGGGGCAGGGCGAGCGAGCAGCAACATTCTCTCTCTCTCTTCAATCTAAACACCAGGAGGAAGTTGTAAATCTCAGTAATGTACTCGGACATGATTCGAACAAGCAGGGAGCACAGGAACACAGACTGTACTCCTGCAGACTTCCCTTTTAACACGAACCGTGAATGTGGCGAGAAATCAAACGCTCAGCAGTGGATCTTAAACGCAACTAAAACAAGACATTTGAGATGAACTCAGGCCTTTTTTTCTCGGATCGCTGAAACGGTTTTTCAAAAATGAGAAGAGAAAGAAAAGTGTTTCAGTTTCATTGTCCAATGAATGCATGATGTTTTTATTCAGCTGAAAAATGCTGTTATGGATACCTGAGAGAAAAGGAATGAGAGACTCTCTCTCTCTCTCTCTCTATTGATGGTTAGCCAGTCTCAGACTGTTGTTAGCATTGTTTAACCGTTCTGATCCTCTGTGACCTGAACACACACAGCCCTGTCAGACAAGCCAGAGGTCAACCTCCAGACTCCCCAGAGAGAGAGAGAGAGAGAGGAGAGGGAGGGAAAGAGAAAGAGCTGCAGACCTGTGAACACTTTCTTGATGCACTCCATGCCACTCAATTAAACAGAAGTAAATATGAAGTTACTTCATATACAAAATTACTCAAAGATCTCTAACAAAGTGAGGAAGATGGACAGCACTGAATGTGAGGAAATCATCTTCCCCAGAATCCCAGTGTTTGGTAACATTAATGATACTGAGAAGATGCCCTTCTCACTGGGAAACGAAGAGAACCCACTTCAACTTCGTAGGTTCTTTAAGTAGTGTAAAAAAAAATGACCAGATTGAAAGGGGTGATGTTTTCAGTCTTTCACAGAATCCTCAAACATCTGACTCAAAGAAGTGTCTTCATCTGTGAGTGTTTAACTCTCAAGAAGAGAAGGATATGTCTCTTACCTGACTCGGGGAGAGGAACTCTTGGTTGTTCTCGCTCATGTACATGTTCTCACCATCAAACTGTGGACAAACGAAGAGAGAGAGATCAGCATCTGATAGGTCAGAGAGTGCTACGGAGAAAAAATTATTCCATCAAAAAGAAACAATAGGGGGAGAGAATGAGATGGAGAGATGTGGGGTGAGAGAGTGAGACATGGAGAGATGTGGGGTGAGACGGAGAGATGTGGGGTGAGAGAGTGAGACGGAGAGATGTGGGGTGAGAGAGTGATGAGGGGAGATGTAGGGTAAGAGAGTGAGACGGAGAGATGTGGGGAGAAAGGGGGACGAGACACAGAAAGAGAGCTGAGGTGGAAGGAGTGAAGGATGGTTTCTCTCAGAGGACAGAAAGTTTTTATGTAGTTTTATTCTTAGTTTTGCTGATAATTAAACATTAGTAATAGCATCATGTGCTTTTGGAATCTACAGCTGATGGTTTTCTTAAATGTGTGGAAGAAAGTTCACCGTCAGTAAGACACTCGAGAGCATCTCTAACAATTCTCCATTTATCATTTATCTTCCCACAATAAAACATTGTTTACATCAAATCCCAGGTGTTTCAGTTTCAGCTGCAGAGTAACAAAAGATTTCTTATGTAAAACAATCTCAGTCTCTCTCTCTTTCTCTGATAATATAATTCACATCATG